TTTTTGCTGTCACTATCTTCTTTTTTTCCTCAATCAGGTTATAGGAACAAGGCCAAATAAGTAAAAATCCTCCTATCCTGAAGAGCCCAAAAGCACTTTAAAATCAGTATCTAATCATCAGGAGAGAATTAAACCTTCTGAAGAATGTTAGGAGACCACAACCTGTATTGCTGGAGGTATTCATTCCTGTATTGAATAGCATTGGAGATATTGAAAATAGCATTGTTCCTGTTATACTAACCAAGTACAGTCCATTCCCAGAATGAGGGGGTCCCAGGAGATTATTTTATAAATAGCCATATGAACATGTCTTTGTTATCAGTGAAAAGACCTGTCATTTTGCTGGTTCAGAGAACAGAAAAGAAAAAAAAATAGGAACTGAGAAAATGAATGTTTGGATAAATTGGCCATATGTTTGGAAATATATCAGTTGCTGTAATCCTTATAGTTTCAGCCCTTTCTTCTTAATAAACTCAGAGAGAATTGTTTGTTCAAGAAGTTTAGATAGAGATTACTTAAGGAGTTTCATTCAACTCAGGGAGTTTAGGTAGAGGAAATGTGATAGAAACTTTCAATTGTAAGTATAATTATCTAAAGGATAATTATACAAAAAAGAGAGTGTGGAATCCCATTTTCAATTGTCCCTGAGAGGATTTGAATAGATTGAAACTATAAGGAAAGAAGTTTAGCTTGAAGTCAGGAAGAACTTCCTGGTTATATTAGCTGTCAGTCAATGGCATACATTACCGCATGAAATGATTCATTTCCATTTACTAAGATCTTCAAACAGAGGTCATCTATCAAAAATGATTTAATGAATCCTTCATTAAGCAGTGAGTTGGGCTATATGACTTCTAATGGTTCCTTCCAAACCTACAGTTTTTTTTTTTTAAATACCACATGCAGTCATCTCCTGCTCTAAATTAAAATTTGCTATCATATGGATTAAAGCTGATTCTGTCTCAAAGATAAGACTGAACACTGAACTGAAATGACCTTAATCATCTCTGGGATCATTCACAGCTGTGCTGCTGCTACCCTTCCAAACACCTTGTCATTAGAGGAGAATACTAATATTGATGATGGTAGCTAGTTTGGGTACTGGAACGTCTGCAAGTAAGCAACCAAAGTTGGAGAGCATCAAGGACCCCTCATATGTACAACCAATTTATAATTAATGTAAAATTCTGAATGGAGGGAAGCACTGCTACTGCCACCACAATCTTCTCTTGAGGGGCAGCCAATACCACTGCATCCCATTTTAACAACTTTTTGGATCAATCTGGCTAGTGACTAGTCCTTCCCCAGGTCTAACTGAACCCTGCAAAAAAAATCCTGTGGTTTGCTAGGTTGCTGCAAGATCAGATAAAATGAAATCATTTCCACAAAACTGGGTAAGGCAATTTTGTATATACTTCATTAGAATCTATATCTCTTGGACTGTTTCCTAGAAACTTATTTAAAACAGGCTGAGGAACAAAATGCCACCTTTTATGAAGCTATTTAAACAACTAAAAGAAAAAAAAGGAGCCAGGCCCAAAATTGGTCTCTTATGTTTTTCTCATCAACATGTGAAAGAAATTTGAGAACGACCAAACCATGCATTAAAAAGAAAAAAAATAGTGGGTTTGAATTAGGGCCTTTCCTTAAAAACATTAATACATAGGCTAGAGATTAGGAAAATGAATTTGTTATCCTGGATTGTGTCCCACCTTTAAAATTCTTAGAAAAATATGTTTTGACTTTTTTTTTCCACCAGAGATAATTGGGATGGGGAATTGTTTATTTAAACAAAAAGAAACAAAAAAGTCAATTTGTGGTCTTGGTCACAACATTAAAACATCACTCAGCAGAAGTTAATATAAATATCTCCTTTGACTTCCATTTTAGGATCACAACCATACAAACTAATGAGTTCAAAATCAGATCTTTTTCCAATTCTTCCAGTATTTTGTAAAGTTCAAATAGATAATCTGAACAGCTTTGCATGTTTGAATTCTGCCAGTATAGATTCTAATGCAATAAGGTTGGCTACAATCCTATTGGCCTTCCAGAAGTTCCTTAAAACATGTTTCTATATCTGGTTTGAGGGATCCTTGATGGAGGGAGAACCTACTAGATGGCTTTAGGATAGTTAATTGAACACAATCTCTTGTATGTGTTCCTGCCATACAGCTTTTTTAATCTTTTATCTTACCAATTTAAATTATGTTTTTAATTGTTTTTACTTCTATGTGTGATATAGACAGACAGATTCCTTGGACAGCAAAGGTGACCCATAAGTAAGCACTAGAGCGCATTACCTCAGATATGTCACTGGAAGGACAAAACCGTGTCTCACTTATCTTGGCCATGTCATGCAGGGGAATTCACTGGAGAAAGCAAGTTTTGTTGGGAAGAGGTAGCAATAAAAGGAATCCAGACCACCAAAGAACACAATGGCAGGACACCATCAAAGCTGACATCAGCCACAGCATAGAGAAACTCAAGCAGTGCAAAATCAAAAGATGTAGAGAGACCTGGCCCATAAAATCACCAAAGTTGGACATGATTGAATGGATAACATCTAGATAGATAGATAGATAGATAGATAGATAGATAGATAGATAGATAGATATAGAAAGACAGACAGACAGAGATTATTTTTCTTATAATCCACAGAGCTACTTGGGGGCAGGGGCATGTCTGAAAATATTTAGAAATAACTGCTCGGTAAAGGGGAAAAAAAGATCTTTTCCATCTGAAGCTGAGTCTTTATTCTCAACAAAAGCCATGAAGTTTGATTTCCAGTGATTTCCCTAACCCTTTTCAAAACCTAGCTGATTGCTTAGATCAATTACAGCTTTGTTAAGTATATAGGCAGACTGCCTAGCTTCCACTACATTTTCTACCTACCTAATGACTACTGTACTTTATTTCCCCAAGGGTTTATATGTGGGTTTGAATTCACAGTCTGGAGATGATTACAACACTCCCTGAGGTGATCCTGATTGCAGTCTGAAACTATTAGATCACTCAGCAAACCCTAATTTGAAAGTCTACTGCATTATCTTCTTCCAATTCTAGTTTAAGAACTCTGATCATCAGTATCCACCTCATTTCTCATTCTTGGCTCATGGAAAGTTTTAGAAGGCTCCTCTTCATCCCCATTAGTGAACTGCATAAAATCTCTGTGGTAAGTGATCCTGTAGATTTATTTATTAAACAGTTCTACAAATCCAATGTAACATTTTACACACTATATTCTATCTCTGGTTTGCAAGCTGCATTTACCAATTTGCTTCTGAATCAAATTCAAGGTGTTGGTATTGACTTTTAAATCACTTCATGGCATGGGACTGACATATTTGAAGGACTGCATTTCCCCAGATTCATCTGCCTGTCCTACCGGATCCAGCTAAGCAGGCCTGATGCAGGTTCCATCTTTAGTAGGTCCTAGGTGGCTGCAGATCTCTGGAGTGGTAGAGTGGTGGAACCTCTTCTCTACTGAGTGGAGGTTGGCTTCATCACTTCCAAGCTTGTGGAAATCCCTCAAGACCTGGTTGTGTTGGTAGACCTGAGTACCCCAGACGATGGGTGAGCTAGTGAGGTGGCTCTGTTATATTAACATATCTTCACCTTCTTTTTAGTTTAGCTCAGTTTTTAATACAGGTAGTCCTTGACTTAACAACAGTTCATTTAGTGATTGTACCAACACCATGGAAAAAAGTGACTCATGACCGTTTTTCACACTTATGACCATTGCAGCATCCTTGTGATCCAACTGTTCTGGAGTCATGTGATCCCCTTTTGCGACCTTCTAACAAGCAAAGTCAATGGGGAAGTCACATTCACTTAACAACTATGTTACTAATTTAACAAGTGCAGTGATTCATTTATCAACTCTGGCAGAAAGGTCATAAAATGGAACAAAACTCACTTAAATGTTTTGCTTAGCAACAGAGATTTTGGACTCAATTGTGGTAGTAAGTCCAGGACTACCTGAAGTTTTTGATGTTTTAATTGTTAAATGGTTTTTAAGTATTAACTCGTAAGCTGCTTGTTCTGTGAGATGGGCAACTATTAAATAAATAAATTAGACCTTTATTCTCAATAGAAATGGTTTATTACTGTCAATCTCCATTGCCTAAGCTGTCCTAAATACAGGAACCATTACATAAAGCCTAACTGCAGCACAAGGATATTTTATCTTAATGATAATTTCTATGCCAAATTCACTTGGCTGAAATATTTGAAAAATATTTATATTTTAGTCTAAATATTTTATCCGTAACCATGTACAGATTTATGAAATGAAAATCACACCATGCACGGGATGAAATGGGATGTATAATCTGTACCTCGTACCACAATATCTCTTAATCCTTGAAGGGCCAAAGGGCCCCTTTCTATTTTTGCTGCAACAGTCAAAGCATAGCTCCACTTATGGCATAATTCCTGACCAAGTAATGATTTCCCCAAATCATAGATCATCCTTACCCAAACAAGCTTTCCCCAAGCTGGTTCCTCCAATTCCCACTTCTAGTGTTTTCTTTTCCTTTTGCATTTTGTTTACAAAAAAAAAATATGTTACCATGGCTTGAAAATATTTTTGGATTAGATAAAACGTTTGATTAATGCAATGACTTCATCAGTTCCGTCGAGATAGGAATTTATTTTTGGATTTAAAGAGCTAATAATACCGTCAGCTCCCCTCCGCCCCCATCCCTTTGCTCTGAATGAATGAACGTGGCTGCTTCAGCACAATGTCTCCCGGCCTCCCTGGGAAAGGCGAAATAGGGATGCGGGACTTTCGGCCTCCGTGTTCAGACACCACGTGAAACAGATGTGACAGACGCCTTCCCCAGCTGGAACGCAGCACCACCCCGCCCTTTGCTCATAGCAAGCCTAAGGACCTGAGGCGAGTGATTCGCTTCTTATTGGCTGAAAAAGTTAGAGCCGCTCGCCCGATTGGCTGCGGCGCTGTAAGAAGGAGTTGTGGACTCCAATTATAAAGGGACTTCGCTCAGGCGGCGAGGAGATTAGCGCTCCGGATCAGAAAGTGGAATTCGTGGTACTTGCTGAGTCCTGAGTCCTCCTGACACCCGCCAACAGAGAAGTCGCTTCGCGTTTCTCCCAGTTAATCGCTGCAGCGAGGTGCTTTTGCTGGCGGCGGTTGGATTCGGCTGGAGGGAGGAAGGAAGGAAGGGAAGCGGAAACATGGACCTGAGTTCAGGGATTCAAAAAGTAGGTACCTTGCCCCATTTCTTCTCTTCCCCCCCCCCCTCTGCAGGGGGAGCCTTAGTTTTTCTTTCGTTCTCCCTCAAAGTTTTAAAGCACGTCTCGACCAGGGAAGCTGCCTTTTTTAATATAGGAGTACCTGTTCAAGTGCAGGAAAACCTCATTGCGCTCAATGGGCATTCTTTTTGAGCCGGCATCTGTAAAACGGCGCAGCTGGACCTTTCCTGGGAGCTACTGCTGTTATCTGACGTGAGAGGTCTAAAGAGTCCTTTCCGTTGTGGCGGTTTGGATAATCTTGTAGGTAGACTAATGCCTAGATTTTATCTAGGTAATTCAACGTAGGTAACCGTGGCAGCTGGTGTGTACACTGCCAGTCTTTTCTTCGAGTTATGTCTTTAAAGCAGCTGCCTAAGTTTGTTAATGTTGTAACTCATAATGTAGCCCATGAGTAGATGGAACTTGCTAGTCTCTTAACTATGAAGTCCTAGGATTTTGACCTGGTTCCTGGACTCCCAGAGTGAGTGCAAGGAGGGTTACAAACTGTATCATGCTAACAAGGACTTTGGATTATTTCAACATTTTATAGTCTGTTTTCCTTTATTACTTATATGGGGAATAGGAAGCCATGAATTAAACATATGGCACAATTATGTATACCCATATATTCACTTTACTTTCCCTTTATGCAATAATCTGTAGGGAAATTCTGCAGGAATGGGCTGCTGTCCTGTTTGCCCTTTAAGTAAACCTCAAACCTTTGATCTTACTATGCTAATTATGGCTTAATTTCCAGGAAATGCAAACACAGGATTTAAGTTTTACACAGGATCATTTTGAAACATATGAAAGGATATACATCTCCATTGCTGTGCTTCCTACTTCCTTTTCCTGAGAAACTGTTCATTTAACCCAGTTGATGTGTAGACTCTGTTGTTTCTCTGTGTCATAGAATATATGTGGATATATGCAAATTTTTTGTCATATTTATGTAGTGTATATTGGAGGCGGTGACCCTTTGAGAGCTGTATGCAATGACATTTCATGTTAAGGTATGCTGATTAGTGTACATTTAAAGTGACAATGTTATTCTATTCTATTCACTATTCGGTATCGGGAGTAAGAGGGCCTTGACCCCCACAATTCACTTTTTGTAGCCACACCCAATATAAAGCTGTCGGAGAGGGACAGAAAAAAGTGTGGGAATGGGAGAAAGTGAAGTGATGGGTGGTGAAAGGAAGAAGTTGAATGAGGAGGTAGAATTGGAACAGTGGAATGACTGGTATGGGGTCAAATCCAGCAGTTGAACAGGGTATGTGGTGAGAGAAATAAAAGGGTGGGTGGTGAGCAATGGCAATGTAATGATCAAACAAGGGAAGTTTTAGCCAACAGCCCAAAATAGACAATAGGCTGGTTTGTCTAGCCTGCTCTCCAGAAGATGTTTGAGCATGCAAAGCTGGCACTCAATATACCAAAATGAGAATGAACTGTAACTTTTGAATCTCTCAAGCAGACTGTAAAAGTCAATCCAGCTGAACGCTTTTCTACCAGGAGTTTAAAAAGTCACTGCAAAAGAGGAATTTACTTCCACATAAGTGTGCTTTCTAAAAATTTAGTCCCAAAGCAAAATGACTGGGGAGAAGCCTTCCAACTTTTCTCCAATGGAGAAAAAAAAAAAATAAGTAGAGTGAATTTGGTACTCAGAGGAGTCCCAACTTTGCAAGCCATTGCAAATAATTTTCCCCAGATTTCAGTCCAAAAGTATAGAGCTTGCACTCAAAGGCAGTAACGGAAGTCCAGAATACAAACTTGTGAAGGTAAAGTAAATAAAAATGTAGAGTTAGGCTTAGGCTTATAGTGATAGATGTGAATAAAGATAGAACTAGACAATACAAGAGAAGAAACAAGTTTCCTTGCTAAATCCAAGACTCCTTCTGATATAATAAAACAGAGCAAATGCAATACACTTCGTCTCTGTGGTTTGTGCCAACTCAACAGAGTTCTTGCAAATGGTGTTAGTATTAAGAATAGGAATGTGTGCAGGAAAAAAAGGAACTCAGTCTACCAGAAGAAGTAGCATTTCATCACTTTAGTTGGGAAAAATACAGAAAAAGGTGCCTAAAATAGTGAAAAGTATGTACAGGCGTTATTTACAATATTCTTGTTAAATATAATTACCACAAACTGATGCAAGAGGAAGGAAGAATAAAAGGTGCAGAACAAAAGAAAAAGAGGAAAGTGGAGAAATAGAACAGAAAGAAAAAAAATAAGAATGCAGTATCTTTCATACACTTTATACAAATATAAACCAGTTTAAATTTTAGTAACTATCACCTTTTCTTAAAATAGAATAAATGATGTCTTCTTACCATATCTCTTATGAATAAACAAATCCCTAAAGCATCATTTCACCATCAGTGATGTCAACAAAAATCCATTAAGAGTTACCAGAAATAACATATCTATTTTAAACTTGATCAAATAAACCAACTTTGTGTTCCTTCCTTTTTCTGTTAACAATCTTAAATTTTAGTCACTTCAAATAATATTGTAGAACTTGATTTCTTTCCATTTTTTAAACTTTAGCAAGCTGCATTTATAAATGCCATATAGGAAAATTGTCCAGGCTACTCTTTTGATTTGTTATTTAAATTGTGTCTTTTAATTATTAAAACATCAGCCAGTTTTCTTTTTTATGTCCTATATAACACCTTTTTCCTTGTCATTCATGTAGCAAACTCCTTTCAACTCAGTCTCTTTCTTGTCAGAATTTGCTTCTCTTCCATAACATCTTTTAGACAGAGGTTACATATAAAGGCAGACATTTCTAAAATTAATTCCTGGATCCATTGATCAAAAACATCCTTTAATATGTCCAATATTAAAGTATTTTACTTCATTCTGTAATTGTGAATGCAACTGTTCTCTTTAATTGTAATCTTTTGTTCTTTCTAATGAACTAATTGTTAAAATCTTTTTCTTTTTTTAAAAAATGCATTTTCTCCGCAGGAATGATTAATTCCCAAATCTTATTTGAAATTTATTTTGACTATTCATCAATTTATAACTTTCTAAAATCAAAAGTTTTAATCATTTCTCTGTTTATTAAAAAAAAGTTCTAAGATAATCCATTAGACACCATTATTTTGCAATTTCCTCACAAGCAGCTGGATGGAACATTTGTGGGCAATCTCAAGTTCTCTCCTTGTCCTGAGAAGGGTTATCAGAGAGCCAGCCTACTTGTCTGCTCTTTATTCTGCAATCATTGGCTCTTCTCTTTGTAGAACTGTCTTCAGTCTGCCATTTCTTCCCAGAAGTCCACAAATTTAGAGGCATTATTTATAATAATCAAAAGAGTGATTTCAACTGTAACTGGCTAAAATATATGAGCATAGCCAGAGTAACTCCCTGTTTGAAGGATGACAATATGCATCAGCCGCTTTGCATTTGTTATCCGTAAGTGTAAGGGGTGGAGAAAATAAGAGTTTATGAAATAATAAAATATTAAATCAACATTTTTTTCAAGATTATATCTACACTCTTAGGAAGAAGATTGAATGGGTTTAACTCTCGGACCTATGGAAAAAATGGCTGAAGCCAGGTAAAGGCACCCAGGAGAAGGCTGTAGAAGAATAGTTTACACAAATACTGCCAGGTCCAGTATACTTTTGAATGCAAAAACATTACCCCAAAACAGATACAGAAGTAGTTTCCAGTAATTTCCTTACAATTGCTGAGGATGATTTACTGCTGGGAAAGCTAAGCAGGTACAAATGGAGGGGGCAGAAAATTCTAGTGAAACCAAAAAGGGTATTCTAGCTCAGAAAAGAAGATCCCTACCAGGGACAGCAAAATCTAGATTTCAGCAGGGGATAACTCCTGATGCAATATGGAAAAGAAAACCACCTGGTGAAATCTGCAACTCCCATAGTCACTTTTCAGTGGTCCTCCTGAAACGATCAGTGTGGAAGAGAGTCTAGTACAGGAGTAGGCAACCTTGGCTCTTTTATGACTCGTGGACTTCAACTCCCAGAATTCCTGAGCCAGCATGGCTGGCTCAGAATTCTGGGAGTTGAAGTCCACGAGTCATAAAAGAGCCAAGGTTGCCTACCCCTGGTCTAGTATAATATGTGACAATTAATGGGGAGGAAGTGAAATGACTTTTTGACCCAGGGACTATAGGATATGCTCTTTTGTCCTCAGGCTGAGAAAAAAAACACTCCTCTAGGAAAGGAGCTGTTCACCAATGAAGGCAACAGTAGAGGTAAGGGTTCAAGTCAGAGAATCATATGAACAGAGCTATCCAAATTCCCTGGGAATTTACATAGTAATAAATATTGACTTCATAGCCTGCTGGAAGTTGCTAAGTGGAAAGAAGCTCCTGTAATAAAAACAGCTGCCATAATGTCCAGAATAGCTGAAAAGAGACAGGAAAAAGAAACTATAAGAGGATGAGAAGACTGATGTCCAAACTACCCCCTCTGTATTAAAAGGAATAAACTCATGAAGTGATTTTAAGTAGTAATTTACAGCTTTGAGTAAAAAGAACTAGGCACCAAATTGGTTTCTTACATTTTTCCCCATCAACACGTGAAAGAAATTTGAGAAAGACAAAACGCTGTATTAAAAACAAAGTATTTTAATGGTTTGGTTTAAGCCTTTTCATATAAACATGATTAATTCATAGGCTAGAGAAAAGGAAAATGGGGTCATTATCTTGATCTACCTTTAAAGGTCTTCAAAAAACATGTTTTGATTTCATAATAGAAAGCCTTATTCTGTACTGTTTGGATTGAGTTCTGCGTTTTCTCAGTGCGGTTTCACATTTATTGTATCTTTTATTTATTTTACAAGCCTTATACACCACTCCAATTGAAACCAACACCAAATGTTTTACATACTTAAATATCTAAAAAGGATTAAACAATGGAAGACAAACAAACAAACAAACAAACAAAAACCCAATATAATCATCTTGAACGAGGACATTATCAAATCAGAAACTTTAT